TCTTTTTTTTGCGCCCCTACAAGTGCCGCCCGGGACACGTGCGCGCCCCCCCCCACACCCCCACACCCCCACACCTCCACACCCCACACTCCTCCCCCACACCCCCGCCTCCACCTCCCCCGCCCCCACCCATTCCTTAGAAACGCCACTGTGTGCTGTTGCGCACCTGTGTTCCCTCCCGCGTGGTAACAACGCCGTACCATTCACAAGAGCTTAGAATAAGTCAATGACAGAACATAAGAAATAATGTTTGCTGCCATCTTGTGGCAAGAATTTCGTCTCCTTGTTTAAGTAGTCTATGTCACAAACATTGTTTTGACACGGGCCTTGTATCAAATGAGAAATATTCAAGCTAATATGAGCCCCCATACAATCGTGAATTACAATGAAATAAACATAAATTGGTACACTAAAAAAAACCTACACCATTGACAATTTAGGGGTGAAGATAAAGGCGATAAAGTGTAATAAATAATCGATATTTTGATTCAGTTAACCATAAAACAGATTTAGGCGAGGCGTCAAAAATATCGATACCAGCAGGCTGCCGCCTCACGTATTGGCGCATCGAGGCTGCAGTTACTGCCGAAGCCTGGCTGGGGCAATTACTTTTCACTTAATAGCCCAGCCGGCTTGCGCCAGGCTGGGATCTGAGGCTCGGTTTCCATTCAAAAGGCGGCAGCCGGCGCATGCTTTTGAATGCCATTTCCTACCGCCAGCGGTAGCCGGCTGAGCTAATTTAAAAAATGCAGCCAGGACGCACAAGTGCAGTTAGCTGCCGCTGGCTGGTATATTTATTTTTGACGCCTCGCCTTAATAAATGTATGTATCAAAAGTATTAGTGAATTTGACTTTATTAAGATAGAGGCCTTTGGGGTTGATTGATTTTAATACAGAGTTTACAGTTAGGTTATTGCACCCAAATAATTAGACTTGACACCCCTCCAGAAATTTGGTTTCATCGAGTCTCCGATATCAGCGATCGTTTCTTCTGTTGTTATTGCTTCGAGCTCATCACACGTGAAAACGAACGTGTGTTTTCGACCCGGCTCTTCTGAATTTATCTTTTCTTTGTGTTTTCGGAGTTATCATTTCCACTTTTTCATTCAACAAGCCAGATCGTATTCACACCAGTGCTCCAGATTATCGTGATCATTATCAACACACTTATTGCAAGATCTAACCCGGTTTTTTTTTAATTCATAGCCTAATTGTTGTTTTTTTTCAACCGCAGTGGCGGATCCAGGGGGGGGGGGCGAAACGGCCGCCCCCCCCCCCTATAAGCAGCGCAAAAAAAAAAGGAAGAAAAAAAAGAGGAAGAAAAGAAGAGAAAAAAAGAAAGGAGAAGAGGAGAAAAAGAAGGAGAAGAGAAAGGAAACTAAAGAAGAGAAAAGAAAAAAGAAGAGAAAAGATAAAGAACCCCCCCTCCCTCCCTCCCACTCCGGGGTCGGAGGGACCGAATTTGTGTTCCCAAAATTTCCGATAAAGAGTTACTTTTCACGCAACAAAGTCCGGCCCGTAATACACAAAAAGCCGGCCCGTACTGACTATACACACCGGAGATAAAGGAGTGCTTTCAAAGAGAGGGAACATACATGTGCCTACCCTAGATAACACTGAGTGGGTGGGGGGGGGGGGGTGGGGAAAAGAAAAGTCGGATGAGAAAGGGGGAAAGACAAGGAAATGGCGCTAAGTGACAGTACCGACGAATAAGGGAAAACTGTAATCGGGAGATTTGGGGTCATTCCAGAAGGCTTGGCAAACGTTATCGAATAGAGGGGGGCCGGGCCGGCCGCATAAAATCTTGAGCCGCGAATTCAAAGTTAAACGTTAAGAACAGCCCCTGCGGTAATCACTCTTTAGTGAGAAATTTGAAAAGGGCACAATATTTTGGAGGTCTTTCAACATTGCAAAATCTCGCTTGGTCGCTACGCCCCGGCCCTCGCCCGATAACTCAAAATTATGACGCTCCCGGCCGTGATTTATCCATGTTTGGTGTAATAGATCTTTTTCCCCTTTCATTTCAACTAACCTAATTGTGTGCTATCACAATCATGATTGTTTCATTTTCCCTTTAAAGCAGGCGCGTAGCCAGGGGCGATAGGGGCATTAAGAGGACATAGGACGAAAAAGGAGCAGAAAAAGAAACATTTTTGAAAATTCTGACAAGTCGAGAACGGTACAACGAATCGTCTTCTTTCTCTAATAATTTAATGAAACGTCAAAGCTTCCACGCTTCGCGCGAGAGGGGGGGGGGGGGAACTGCATTCAAACAAGGATTAAGAGTCGAAAATGGTAATAATTCATTTTCTCTGGTAAGAACAGAAAACAAGAAATTGTACCATTAGGCTTTGCCTGGTAAAATGTAGGCCTATATATTTGTACTTTGTAGACTTTAATTTTTGTTTTCTGCAGTTACTTGTACAATGTAGACTGTGTTCTAATGAAACGGTGATGATTTGTTCTGTGGTTATTGGAACTGAATCTGAGTTGTATTCCAAACTTTGTCTATTAAGGTAAAGACCAGTATTGGAAACGCCCCTATTTCAAAAAATGAAATGGAAGCTCTAATTACCAATCATGTGAAAGAGTATGTTTTGACTAATACATGATGATAACATTTTTGCCGGGAAACCGCCTACTAATTGATATATTTAGTAAATTAGTTTATCTATTGCTGTGTGAGAGATAAACGCACGTGTCGCGCACGTGTGCGTAGTCCCATATACATCTTTCTGTGTACACTGTACAGTGCTTGTAACTTTACGAAGACTGGGCCAAATTTCTTATCATTTTGATGATTCCAAACCTTGCAGTACACACCAATACTTATATGCTAGATGATCAACCTTTTCTGATCGATTCCACAACGTATCTTTCACAATGCTATCGCATGACCATAACTGGCCTTTATCTTTGATGTATGAATTTCATAATTTATTTTAATCTTTTTGCCTTTCTCTCAATGTTAATTGAGTCCAAAAAATTCTGGACATGAAAGTAAATAAGAAGAATACGTGAGAGCAAGAAAAAGAGAGTAAGTGTTGTAACATACTGTATTTTGGTCTCTTGTGCTCGTTTTTTGTTGTGTGTGTGTGTGACGTGTTTTTAGTAGTTGTATTTTTTGTTATTTGTTGTAGATATTTTGTTATATATAAGTTTCACTTTTTAGACCTCTGTAAAAGCTTTCCGAAGATGAATCATTCTCCGCTCGATTGCTTCTAATCTAAGCATGTATGTCACACTGAGAGAGATAGAGATATATATATAGAGAGAGAGAGAGAGAGGGAGATATATATATATATATATAGAGAGAGAGAGAGAGAGAGAGAGAGAGAGATACATTTTACATTTCGTGTGACATAACAGCTAAAATTGACGTCTTACACCATTTTAAAGTCTAAAACCTGCTATTTACTCTCATAATTATTTGCCACGTGCCAAAAATACGTGTCTGGGTTTTATTGTTTAAGATTGAATTTAGGACTCGAAGCGGCATATCGAAGGACTTATCCGCACAATGCATCAAAAATTATGGCCAAAATGCATTTTTAGATTCGAAATCTTTTAAAACTATCCAATATAATATATTACAGCTGAATATTGTCTAACACCATTTTAAAGCTTAGAACCTGTACTTTAATCTCATATGTGTCACAAGCCAAGAGTATGTGTCTGGGTATTTCTGTTTCATATTTAATTTAGGCCTCAAACCAGCATATCGGTTTGGTTTGGGACAATCTTTTCTAACAAAAAGTCAGGTTAGGTTGAATACAGGTATATATATATATGAATGGATGGAGGTCTTCAATTGACGTGGGATGACGCGGTGTCTTTAATTTTCAACGTACACAATATCAAATTAAACATCTTTAAATCAACTCTTCATAATACAGGCCCCTGTCTTGATACAATATGTTAGCACAGTGTGCCGAAATCCAAAATGCTTTAATAATTGGATGGATAACATTTATTAAGAAACGTTCAAAGTGCAAATTGACGAGTTTAAACAAAACAAGTAAGTCTTTTTTGCGCTTGCATTCTTTATTGTTTATACTTCTTTCATGTTTACATATGCTCATATGGTAATATATTTATACTGGCTTGATTTGCATTATATAATTCTACCAATTAACTTCTAATTCTACTATTTAATTTTTAACCTAAACATCCACCCTTATATAGCATAATGCTTTCACATTGGTTTTATTGCGCATAGTCTGTGCTTATGTTTGCAACTTTACATTTTCATATTTACAATTCATCGTTCAAATCCTATCACATCATCGTTGACATATTAATCAAATTGAATTCCACTGTTTAGTAGAAGTAGTAGTAGTATTAGTAGTAAGTCGTAGTACTAGTAATATTAATACGAGCAGCCATGGTATTATTATTATTATTAGTAGTAGTAGTAGTAGTAGTAGTAGTAGTAGTAGTAGTAATAGTTATACTAGCAGTCATGGTAGTATTTGTAGTAGGAGGAGGAGTATTAGTAGCATAGTGGTATTACATGTATTATTAGAAGTAGTAGCAGTAACGATAATGATAATAATAAGAATAACAATTTAGGATTTATTTATTCTTGCCTACCAGTGCTGAAATAATTATTTTCAACAGCAATAGCAGGCGACAACACTAGTAATCAATACAGACAAAAAGTGCAGTATTTATTATATTTTTTTCTACTGATATCTCAAAACACGATTAACATGATGGAATATGCCTTCGTACTTTATACATATATATATATATATACATATATATATATATATATATATATATATATATATATAAATGACTCAATACATTTTCCTTAGTATTTGCACCTGCATCGAATCGTTCAAAACATATCTTATATTAAAAATAAAATTCTAAAATCATTCGCAACAGATACCTCTGCAGATAGAAAAAATATATAATTTTCGAAAATAATATCATCTTTTGTTTATACTCCATGGTGTAAGAGTATTTTTTATACATCAATCACATTGCTCAGAAATTGACAGTGCTGTAGGAAACAAACTTCAATGAAGGAAGATAAGTATATATAAACCCATTTAAAGAAATTAATCACATACCCTGACTTTCATGTATAGTGGTGGGACCTCAGGTATAGTCTGGTGGAACACAACTATTTCTACCCAAATGTGTCAGACTTCTGCAAATCATGGTATTTCTAAAGGAATTCTTTGTACTGATCTGCGATATCAAGAGATTTGGGAATAACGCGAGTAGACATGGTAGATGAACAAATAAGGAGGAGGAGCAAAAGACGAAGAAGGGAAAGCCGTGATAGTTCTGACGACTTTTCATCCTTGTAATCTAACTCTAAAGTCTATCATACTTTTTTCAGTTATTAAGAGAAACTTCATATTTCACGACTTTAAAGCATGGTTCATCTTCACGGAATGATTGAAATATGGACAAATCAATTAAGACCGAAAATCCTCTTGTCTCTCAAAATCATTAAAATTATTTGTTTGTCTTGATAACTAATTTTTTTGTGCTGGACTAGGGTCTTTTTTCATATCATTTATTCAATTGTTGAGCAGCACAATAATACTATTTAATTCTAGTACTGTTTAAACGTCTTCCACGTTTACATAATCTCCCTGTATGGCGTCAGTTAATGCTTCGTAGTTAGCTTCTTGATCAGGTTTCTTCAGATCCTGGTAGGTATAAGAGTCGGTGAGATTCTCATAGCTTTGAGTATCGGTATTCGGATCCTGGTTGGTATTGGTGTCGGTATGCAGGTTTTGGTAGGTATGGGCGTCTCCCTTTGACTGGTCAAATACAGGGTTCTCATACTGCGGAGACGAATCGGAATCCTTCCCTTTAGACTTAGTAGTGGCTGATTCATTGCTGAAAGTTAATGTTATGAAAGCATAGATAAATTGCATTCTATTTATAATTAAAAAAAACAATGTGAAAAATTATTAAGTCCCAATAAATAGGTATATATAAGCATGTCAACATGACATGTGGGAATTTGTGAGGTACTTGCATGTCATTAACATAACAAGTCTTTTAAACGGGTTACCATCACATTTTAACAAGTTAAGCTTTAGAATGTTTTCAGTGAATAAATCAAAAGAAGAAAAAGAAATTAATGAATTAATTTTATAGATTTTTTTTTTAAATACAATCATGATTCCTCTGTATTTTCATGACCACACTGTTTTAGCATCTTGCATGGAGATTTTTAATGAGAATGGACTATGAGAGGGGTGAGTTAAATACAAGGCATCTCTCTAACCTCCTTCGCTTGTAAAAGATGATGATGATGAGAATTATAGCTATAACAATCACAAAAATAGCACCAACAGCGCTTCCTACGACAGTTGATATGGAACTTGAAGAATCTCCAGCTGGACTTGATATTGGCCGAGAAGAAGTAGAAGGTGAAGAAGTAGTAGGTGAAGAGGATGGTGTGGGACCTAGGGTGTTAGTGAAAAGAAATGACAGGAGTAAGCAATACAAAGATGGCAGCAGTGTTAATAGATAAATGATAAATAAATCAGATAATAGACTAGAAATACCAAGGTAGCATCGCAGTTGATAAATAAATCCGATACTAGCTTATGATCATAATTGATTGTAACGGCATGCAAACAGACCGGTCCTACCAGGTTGCTCACTAGCACAGCTACACATTGATGATTCACGTATGAAAAGTTGTGTGTGTGCAAGTGTGTTTGCGCGTGTGCGCGCTCCACATGGTGCGTATATGTGTGTGTGGGTGCGTGTGTGTAGTTGTGATTATTGTTCAATGAATGGAAAATATATTTACATTGTAATTACCAATAACTACATCCTTCATTTTTCGAAATATACTTTAGTTGTTAATTTTTGTTTTATTTGGTTCATGATATATCATGCATTTATATATTTCTAAAATATGGGTCGTCAAATAACGCGTATAAAAAGATGAGAGGAGTGGGCTCAGAAGGCAGGGGAAAATAAATGATAGACCCTACCATTTTCAGTTTTAAATGTCAATGCTGGTCCTTGCTCTCCTTCACCATTTGTACCATCTCGTATCGCTGCAATCTGAACAGAGTATGTTGATCCTGCTTCAAGCCCACTGACGTTATACATGACCATCTCACTAGCATTCTCAGCAGACCTCTTCGATACGGAACGGCCCGTATTGTTCACCATGCTTGGAGGCTGTACTTCTTTAGCCAACACGACATTGCTACCTGAGCGCACGTATATCTTGTACCCTACAATTGGTCCTTCCCCGGTATCAGAGCTAGAGTCCCATTGTCTCCAACCGATGGCTGCGTGGTAGTATCCAAATTCAAGTAGTTCTGGTACACCATTAAAACTTGGTAACGCTTCATAAGTGAGCGTCAAGACAAACACAAGGTAAAATTTAATAACACAAATAGTAATAATTACAACAGCAATAATAATACTGATGATAATAAAAAATAAAATCGATCATTTAAAAGCGCTAAAAACAAAGAGTACAATAGCGTTAGACAAATACAAATGGGTAAATCGCATTAATTTACTTAGGGAAGAAGTATAATATGCTTTAAGGGATCTTTTGAAAGAGGCAAGTTAATTCTCTGAAGAAAAGAGGGATATTGCCCTATATCAAAGTAGCTTTACTTGTCCCATAGATATTTATTTTTACTACCCACCCCCCCCCCCCAAATAGAATCAATTATTTGAATAGCTAGAACTAAAATCATGATACCTTTTGAAAAGATTACTTTGTATTAACGAGCGCGCGAATTTTTATCAATGAAGAATTTTTTTTAGGAACACGGATTGCATCAAGAATATATAAATTTATTTTACATCATAACAGGACCAGAATTATCATTCTCGATTGTACATGTTGAATGAAAACCCTGAGCCAACATCTCACGAAATGAATGACTACAATTTTTTTCAAACTGGTGCATTTTGCATAGTTCTACAAGCATGTGTTTGATTTTAGAAACATAAAGAAAATGTTCCTTTTTCACCCACTCCGCAGAGTATTATAGCAACTTTACTCCCAGTTAGAGCGCTTTGCAAATTGTTCATCAAATTAGTACAAGAACCGCTAGACGAAGCAATGTAAACTTGTACATGGCATTTATGCAGTAGAAAATGCTTAGTGCTTACCAAAGAATTGCCTTGGAGGTAGCCTTATGAACATGAACTCTGAAGGGATTTCAGGATCTCCGACGAAGCAGTAAATCGCTTTCTCTGGTCCCATATTGACATGAGTAAATGAATTGTTGAGGGTTCTATCTATGTATACAGAGCTGCTTTGTGAAATCCAGCTCGCTGCAGAAAAGTCCCCAAGAGCAGCTTTGATGTCCGCGGGGCTGAGAGCTTGCCCTGATGACGCCGTGAACGAACAAGAAAAGATCGCCACTCCTGGGTTGGTCTTCCTCGAGCTCGTCTCAAAGCGATCTAAAATTTGGTGAAAGAATAGAAAGAACAGGTCATCACCATCAGCTTTTTTTTGACGTGGGCTTGTGTCGTGACGAGGGCTAGAAGGTAAATCACGGGACTGTGAAATATCAAATGGTTTACGGTTCGAATCCCGCCATCCAGCCAGGAACGGTTCTGAAAAAAACAACTTTTGAGGGAGAAGGGGCTGGGGCTTCCGTGCTTGGGATTCTTGCATCCATTTTCTGTATTTATCTCGCGAAAAAGTGGGGGGGGGGGGGGCTTGAAGACTTTTGTAGGGATAGGAGTTGAGAACCCCCACTCCAGCTCCCTCTTGAACCATTAATGCCAGCATCTGGCTCGATATACACTATGTGCACTTCTCAGTCTTCTCAAAAGGCCTAGATTGATTCCTAAAAACGAACAGTGTGCTGATGAGGGCTGCCTCAGCTAAAGTTATTGAAAAAGTGTGGCTTATAAAAGTGTTATGTCTTTAAATATTATTTTACAGCATATTCTTTAAATCACAGAAGAGGGCAATATTATCCTACCTGTTTGGCAATGATCCCCTATCCATCTTGGATGACAGATGGATGACAAACAATCACCAGTCAGAAAGTTACAATCTTCAGCACCACCAGAACAATGACATGTCTTTGAACAAGAGCTGTAGCATCCAGAAACTACACGAGAAATGAAGTGTGTCGGGAAAGAATTACATTATAACAGTTCAGACTAAGTGGTTTATTTCTTTCGAAATCAAATATAAAAGTTACCAGTGCATATATGTGTTAGTTTTGCTCAAAACAAAAATGTGATACTCTTACCATTTTAATAGAAGGGTGATATTTTCTTGCATTAAGTATTATGAACAAATATCCTCTGTGACAAAAAAACTTGTATAGATATACGTTAGAGCATCTTGCCCGAATACAGCTTTCCATGTTTACAAAATTTCGCATAGCCAGCAAATTAATTCCTGTTAATGATGTTAAATATTTCCCTCTCAGAAATAAATCTCGCTATTAATAAGGGACCCGAATATTAGGAATTTAAAGATTCACAGGAGAGAAAAGGCAGCAGCCCCCTTCTCCCAAAGCCCCATCATTCTCACCTCGTTATTTTCAATCTTTATTTAAGCGCAATCCTTTGGCGTTTATATTGTTAACAAGAAAACATAATGAAAGTCTGACTTCTCTACGAAAAATATCGCCGAAATAATCAAGACATTTTCTATCTTTTGGTCAATTCATGAACGTTGTCAGTTGTGAGAGTAATCGTATTTGCTGTGTGAATGGATTTCAAAATATTAAAGTTATAAAGCAAGAATAATGTTACATTTAATACAGCTTGATGGGAAATCAACAGAATCAGAAAGATATCCAATGTCACATATTCCTTCAACTTCGGCACAAAATCCAGACTCCTTTTCGCATGTTGTGGCATCTCTGCAGTTACATTCCTGGTTGCAGTCAGCTCCAAAGTAACCGATAGGACAAACAGACGGAACTAGATGTGAAGGAATATAAAGAGAAATCATTACTGTGAATCAATAATAATAGCTTCTTCGATAGAGGGCCCATCACTCATGGTGTTTTGACATTATCGCTCTGGTTATCATGGTCATAGCCGAGCCATCAAAGTAACTCAAGCAAATCAGGCAGAGATAGTTTATCTGGTTCCCATTGGTCATGGCGTAACCTATATACATAAATGAGGACCATGAGACCTTTTTTTTACCATGCTGATGAACGTATAGGATTCTAGACAATGCAATGGGACCGTTGTTTCATACCGATGTATCCTTACTTTCAAACATTCAATAATATAATAAAAAGTAAAGTAAATGATTGTACCTTGACATGCTGCTCCAGACCATCCTTGCGAACAGTCTCCGGGACATTCACCAGTGATGTCATCACAATCTGCTCCATCAGTGCAGTGACATTCATGAAGACAATCAGCTCCAAACATACCAACCAAACATGCTTGAGGACGAAACAGATGGGGTACATACAGACTTGTTGAACATGCAAGGAACTTACACCTATTGGCAATCTCAAAATTAGATTCGGCAGTAATATATGTCACTTCTTTATTTTCCATGAAGGTTCCTGACGATTTATCAGCCCCCCCCCCCACACACACACTATTTTCTAGAGTGAAAGAGGTAACGACAAGGTATACCATTTGTTTTCAGATTAATATGATGAATACTGTCCCTATCAGCAATTGGAATCATAAAATAGCTTCTTTAAAACTAAAATTCAGTTGCAATCGTCACCGATGAAACACTTACTTTCATCGCAGTAGATTCCTGTATATCCAGCTAAACAGGTGCATCCATAAGGATCAGGTAGACAGATCTGAATTCCAGTACACTGGTCCAGAGGCTGACTGGGACCACATTCTAATTCACAGTCCCAACCAAACCGATGCATTCCACAAGCTGAAGAGAAATATTGTGACATTTTATTTAATTAGGAAACTCACTTAAATCATGTTTTTGAAATGACAATTTCAGTTACTCTTGCATAAATATTTTTAATTGCTATAACATTCAATCGCCAATCGCAGCTCAGGTGACGAAAATTTGCATCTTTCTTAAGTCCAACATCGCCTTTCGCCTTAGATATCCGGACCGTTCCAAAAGACAGTCAATGTGGATCATCCTTTAATACTAATGTCCACATTGATGAATATTATTTGTATATCATCAGTATACCTTGAAGGCAGTTCTTTCCAGCAAAACCAGGAGGACAGATGCATGTTCCTGAGAGTTCGTGGCATACACCTCCATTATAACAACTATCACACAAACGATCGCATAATGGTGGATTCCATCGGCCATAAGGACATTCTGTTCATAGAAAGAATAGAGATATGTCATATTTCGGTATGAATTACATTGGACATATGGTATCAACAACTCTCTTTTGAAGTAAACTATATTTCATTGAAGCATGGATATATATAGAAAATGTAATAAAAAGCTTTCAAAAAAATGCGTGGAGGGGTACTTCCTTTAAGGGACCCCCTGTACCAAAACATTGAATGAATAGATAATAAGTTACTTAATGAGGTGTTTAAAAAACATGTATTTTGTAATCAATACTGTTTAAAGTTTACTATAAAAACTGCATTGCATTCTCGAACAGAACTGCCAAGGAATTATATAACATTTTAATGCGCTCTCACTCTTGAGTAAAATGGTGTTGGGCATTTTTATAAAAAATTATAAATATTTTACCTAAATAATTAGCAAAAGAGGAATTTAAAATTGGAAATGACGTTATTCGATTGGGCACAGGATTGCCTACAGTAGACATGATTACATAAGTACTCTTATATAAGGTACATTTACACAATATTCTAGTAGGATATTTCAACATTAAAGAGTGAAGTAAAAGAGCGAACCCTTCACGATGAGTCTTATGAAGCTGGATGGAAGTTGTTCCACCGCTCCATCCGCGTAAGTCACATACACACCGGCGTCTGAGACAGATGCAGATTGGATTGTGTGTGATAGACTACCAGAACTCATTCCAATGAGTGAATCAGCCCAGTCTACATCAGTGAATTTCCGCCATCTTATACCGCCTTCACCTACCATCCCTGTCGTGCTCATCACACTGAGTGTGATATCATCTCCAACGTGTACTGTCTTTGTAAACCGACCATCAATGGGTTGCAATTCACCTACGAATACAAATTTAATTATTTACCCCCAAAATATGATTTTTTTTTTCTTCTTCAATTGTAAATTAGTAGTAATCTTTCCACCTATAAACAGCATTTCTCTCTCTTCCTCTCTCTTTCTTTCCTATTGCGTTGTATGTGCTTTTCACGAAGTCTAAACTTTCCCTGCGATAATATAATTTTAATTCCATGTCATATTTTAATTTTGATGTCAAATGGAAATCCAGTTTGTTCACAATTTCATACGAATTTACAAAGTAATCTCTAACATTTTTAAAAGGGAAACCAGTTTTCACTTCGCCACCAACACCTGTTTTATTTTGTTGTTATCAGCTAAGAACATACGAGCTTAATCATGACAATACGCCTTTACTGAATATTTGAAAAGAAGAAACGTCAGAGTTACTTACGGGTAGAAAGAAGAATGGCAAGAGGAACAGATGTCATTCTACTGGCTGTCACCGCTGAACACTCGAAGAATCCCAAGCCCTCCATAGTAGCTGGAAGAGTATGCCTTAATACTACAGATGGTACAACATTGCTGTATCCTGGAGCTGTGTAACTATCGAAAGTTATAGTCTCGGTCAGACGGACGAGTCTTCTGGTGGACAATGTGAGAATCTCTTCATTCTCTGAGCCGAGTAGACAGATAAATGACGCATCCAGCAGTCCCCCTCCGTAGGGTGATGGAGTAGCTGCTATTATGCGTATGGGAAGGATTGGGCGTGGACCTATGAGAAAATTGTTATATTTTCAAGTGATTAGTGTCCGCCTAGCATTGCTGGTGAAGAAGAACTAAGGGGGAAATACAAAAACGGTGACAAGTCAATGATTTATCTCACACTTCAACCCTATGTTGCGTATACGTTATGATAACATTTAGTCCTTGTTGATACATGCAAAATGATTTGCATAAATGTACTTCATACTATTTCATACTATATACAAAGTTACCTCCACTTCTAAAACGGAATGGTATATAGAAATATAGGCCTATGGAAACACAATCTAAATGGTATATGATGATGTAAGACGTCACGTCTCCAGAACTCCCTCGAACTATCGACTGTAGATAAAGCCTGAATAACTATCTAGGAACGTTTAATAGGCAAGTTACACAATCCATATGATATGATAATCTTATTTCCCCTTTCTGCCTTGAGACAACAGTACTAGCATGGATTTACAATGGGTGGAATTCTATCTAAAGTGGAAACCAACTTTGGATTCGTAACAGTTGTTCCAAAATATTAGAATGTCACCAATCGATATGTTTTTTCGTTTGTTGCATTTAAAACAGATATTTTGGAACACGGACTATTATAAAGGAGTTCTCCAAAATATAAAGGACAACAAAATTATGCCAATACTCACTCGGAGCTTTTTCACATGCGAACCTGAGGTAGGATGTACATGGTAGCTTTCTCCATCCATTATTAACCTGTTTATGAACACATCGCTCACTCTGAAATAGGGTTGCATCACCATTCGACCAAGCAGGAAATCTGAAAAGATAAGATATGTCGAACAGCAATGTATAACTAAATTATTAATAACATAAATATTTTACTTTAAAGGGCATAATCGTTTCTTTATTTGAAAACGGTATGTCAGGCTTTTGATTCGAGCTGCAGTTAAAATGTATATTAATCCAACTGTTAATGTAAATTTGCCTTTCTTGCAAATCATGACCATGGCTTGTATTTTAGGCTTTGTGACGTCCACAAAAAAAAGAAATATTTAACAAACATATTATTGTCAACTTATTCAAGGGAGGGGGATGCCATCGATCCATCGGAGAAAGTCTTCCTCGGCTTTATGGATATCAACTTGTACCTCAGATACTCGTGCTTTTAAAGTTAAATACCATTTTCTACCTATTGCACTCTCTCTGTAAAATGATATAATCACAATTTGTATTTAAGATACTGCTGCTGTGTGTATGAATAATACAATTTAACACATACACATTATTGTCGAGTGGAGTGCCATCAATCCATTGGAACGTGCCCTCCGGACTGCTATCATCGAGTCCAAACCAGTACGAGTTTCCTCCAGCCAGCTTCATGAGATGCATCTGGTGAGTGCGTTGAGAAAATATATCAAAAAGAGAAAGTCACCGATGATTATTTCTAATGCGCAATGATCTTGATAGTGGGATGAGTTTATCGATATTCCATGGCATCATTGAAAGTTGAACTAGTTGAAATCATGACGACATCATGCTGTTCTACTACCTTTTACATCGTTTTCCGATTGTTTTTACACAACTTAACATATTTCCTACTTTTCTTTCATACAAAATCATTAAATGCCTGTTTAAGTTTTATTCACGATTCATTTATACGTCCCATACTTTGAATAAAACTCGTTAATATGACGATGCGTCCTTACATTGATTTCCTCTGTTTTAGGCTGGGCAAGATCCCCTCCTTGAGCCTGGCAGAACCTTCTAGCAAACGTATATGACGTCATCGAGGATTGAGAGATATAGTAGAGGGTTCCATCAAAGCGACTCCACTCATATTCAGGAACATCTACATATTGATTAAAACAAAGGGATTGCCATTTTCAGATGTTCTTCGTGTTATGAGAAAAGAAGAAGGTATTTCGAACCATTGCGTGTCATTGCATATATTATTATCAAACTGAAGAAACATGTGACTAGAGATGAGAAGACCACGAATTAACCCTCCGACATGGCACCTTCATCAACATTCATGTGCTAGATGAATATATGCACTTCCAAAACATTTTAGGTATTATAAGCTTTTAACCGAAACTCTCAAGGGTCAGCGCATTCAAGAAATTAATTATACCGATCACCCACTTACTACACCTGGGTCTAGTGTGACGAACGTAATTAATGCCGTTTGGGATTCGGATCCCTCTCCTTGTAGCATGTAGGATATGATGCATAAGAGTTTTGAAAGTTTGTGAACTGCGAAACTTTGTAAAGCTAAGACACATGTTTATATGAGACAAATCGATAGCGCTGTCAAGTGGTTCAAACTTTGAAAGAAAAAAAATCTCTTTTAGCTTCGCTCTCCAGCTTCTTTCATCGGGATCTTTGTAACCTTTGCGATGATGCAAACCCCGTGCAACTAGATAGATGCATATTCGGGTGCCTTATCCTCAAGGGAAAACCCACTTATTAAAACAATAGAGGCAGGGGGACCATTACTGAGTTTGCTTCAAGTCGACAGCAGTGGATTAAGTGTTATAGTTTAATCTAACAGGCCGGTTTGAAAGAAAAAAAAACATTTGGACGATGAAACAGAAACGACCACACATGTTAGGTTAAGTGACTTAATACCCTGATAGCGTTCACATATGAAGGGATGGTCGAGATTACACGGAATATCATTCCATCCCAAGTTAAGATCAGAAGATAGAGTGACACAATCTTCATTATCACCGCCGTTGGGTTCAGGATCCCTCCATGCTGAATATCTGTGTGTATTGAATGGAAGTAAAATGGAAAGAATAATGGAAAACAAACACATGCAGGAGCAAACAGACGATTATACCTCCGAATAAAATATATCGGTTTATTTATTTATTTATTTATTTAATTTTTTCCTCTTTTTTGTTTGTTTGGGGGGGGGGGGAGGGGGTTCGTTTTGATTCTTTTTTTTTAAACATTTCTTGTAACAATTTGATTGACAGATACCTCATCGGAGTTCTGTCAATTGAAGTGCAATAACTCGTTTCAAATAGGTGCACTTTATTACTTCTCGGCTTTAAAATCTTTAGTTTCTCAACTGAACTTTTTAGACGAAACATATATAAGAATACTTTATCAATCAAAAAGTAATGATCTCAACGACTCTGTTTAATCTAGAGAAAGAAATCATGAAATTAATTTATTCAAAAGCAAAGTATGCACTAGCTACTCTTTTACCTAAATTTTGATTCCTTTTCGAGAATTTTTTTTATTTATTCGGATTTAAAACAAATATATGCACCACTTGGATATGTACAGAAGATAGAAATAATATATTAAGCATACAGACACAATTCATTGCATTACGAAACGCAAAATGCAGCTTTTTATATATTTTAATAGTACTCACTGCCATTCATTATTAAAACTTCAGAATATTACGCATATGTTCCTTTTTAGATTTCATGAGTTAATATTTACTGAGTTACATTGAAAAATATAAATTAAATTTTTCAAATTATATAAGTAAAGAGTAAGTAATTCGAGCTTGACAGTCATACCAAAGTAGAAACGACTTAGTTTGCATTCTAGATTTATTGAACCTACTGTAAAGGTGTTCCATCGATCCATGTAAACGTGCCTTCTACAGCTTGGTCAGTCAAACCAAAAAATACATGGTTACTTAATCCCGAAATACTGTGACGAAGAAAGGTCTGTTGGAAGGAAAAAATGATGTTAACTCATAAACATCAGTTGCTCTTCATGTTTTTTCATATTTGCACTTGTGTCTATTTCATTATTATAAGGACATTAAAAAAGATGAACGAATGTAAAAACATAAATCACCTGCTGTCAGTGAACCCAAACTAGTCTGGCGCTCAGTAGATTACATTTGAAGTGAAAGTTATTCATTTACCTGAACCTGCTTAAAGCTTTGACAAGACTGTTTGCCGTTACTGTCCTCTTTATACAAACAGTAATGAGAATTGATATTCATCCTTTTAACTATTTACAAATCTGAATAAAAGAAAAGTTTCTAATACCAACGTGCTTAAAATAATGCGTCATCAGGGAAAATCATCAGAGTCCATTTTGAAAGACATTGGAAAGATTCAACCGTGAATATTGACGATGACAGTGTTTACATAAATGTTACAGCGATGTAAACCTCCAAGCTTTAAAAGAAAATACTAGCAAAAAAACAAAAGTTAAAATATGTTTCACGATATAATATTTTGTAAATTGATTAATGAATGAAATGAAGTAAATATACTTGACCATACGTTGATATCGCGTGTTTTGATGTGTGCTAAATCAGCTCCATGATACTGACAGTAGGTCCGTGCATCTGAGAAAGACCGAGCCAGCCATGAAGGTGAGATAAAATAATCTAGACCTCCAAATGATTCTTCACTGCTTCCATCAAATACTGTAATAAAACAGACTTTCTATTTGAGAGTGTGTATCGTGATGAGAAAGATTGTGATTTTAACGAATTTGCTTGTCTCTGGAGGCACTCGTCTGATTCTACAGAGCCCATTGTGGGCCTGTAGCAATTGACGATAAACTATTTACTTTGTGAATGTTCAACTAAAAGGGACTAAAATGATTTCTGGTCTCCAAATAAGTATGAAAACAAGGGACTATTCCAATTTTTGTCATTTCTTTAAGGGAAAATATTCACCCACTATCTGAACTCTGTATTTTGTCGTTAAAAGAATGATCAATATTTAATGTATATAGATATATATATCATTTTTTTTCTTCTTCCATGAAACAAAAGCGTGTGTAGTGGCATTTCTTGTAGTGAGGGAAAATTCCCGAATACAAAGTCAGACAGGCATCTCATAATACCCATGTTCAGACGAGGGCTTCCTAGTCGGCGTAGATTAATCCCTGCAGCATTAAATATCGCATGAATATTTGACTTACACCATTTGTTGTCCACACCCTCTTACTCGGACAAACTTGCCACGATTAAGTTAACACGACCTTCCACAGACCCAGTCTTAGTCAGCGTAACTTCCAGAAGTCAGGGGCGGATCTAGGATTTTACAAAAGGGGGCGGGGGCGTGAAATGTATGAAATTGCGAGCGCCTTTACAGTGCGAGGTAGGGCCCGCTTAAGGAACCCGGAAAATGTTGTACCTTAAGATGCTCTAGGGTACTTTCTGAGGGATTTCCAATGAATAAACTGAACATTGTTTATGTAATTTTTTGTTAAGGTAAAAAGAGGGGCGTGCGCCCCCACGACCCCTGGATCCGCCCTTGGAAGTGGTGGCGCCAGCACTAGTCGACCTCAACGCACCTTCCGCATCTAAACCGTGCGAAATCTAATTTTCATGTTCGATTGAAAACAAACAACCCTCGTAAAAGGTCACATATACTCCAAGTGCCAAGTAAGAACATCCGCACGGTCAACTTACGCTACCCTCTAGTCTATTTGGGCGTCATTCCTAGATAAATCCAGGAGTAAATCGGCCGGCGCAAAGGTGGGCGTAGCTAACACGACTATCGTGTAGAGTGTAGACGATCACTACTCCGACCTTTACGCCGACACAATCATATTTACGCCGACTAGCTCTAACACGACCTTTACGCCGACCAAAATTGCCCTCGTCTGGACAAGACTAATGATGTTCCCAAATGGAGATTACACATATTTTAAATAACAACGGATTTCGTTTAGGAGGTTGCGCACAAGCCGAAATATCTGAGTACGAAAGATGCTCCAGCGACAATTGTTCTGCGGCCAATTTCTTACACTAAACGAATTCCAAACTTCAGCCCTTTACCCTAACGCTTACCCGACCCTAACCCTAAATGCCTTATGATCCCTGCAAGTCAATACTTTTGTTGAAATAATTATGGCCCGGAGCAACTTAATGTTGCCAAAACACAAATATTGCTGGTTCACTAAAACTCATACCTCGTGTCCGCTCACAAATGTACGGGAAAGATATTTGTGAAGTCTGGTCATACCATGAAGGGCCATCACGTAGACCAAGACAACCCCAGGAGTCAGCATTATTGGGTTCCGTGGCAGTATACCAATCATTATACCTTGGAGGAAAAATGCTATAAAAATTAAGTACGTATTATGATCGTTATTATGACTATCATGATTGTTATTAATGATAATTATGTATAAGTTATTATTATTATTAGTAGTAGTAGTAGTAGTATGGTAGTAGTAGTAGTAGTAGTAGTAGTATGATGATCATTATTATTACTATTATCATCATTATTATTATCATTCAATTCAAATCTTCATTCAACCTTTATACAAACAAGTTACAGTGACAACATACAAGGTAATGGTAAGGACCCTTAGGAAGCAAAATTCTGCTTGTAACTAATCGGGGCCCTTAATGCTACGTTTACACTATGTTCCCGGCGGCCACGGCAACCCCGTTTCGGGCCACTGTGGACGAAACGGGCGAACGTGACAGGCCGTGATTGCCGTGGATACCATGTCAGATTTTTAAAATGTCAACAAAATTGCCACGGCAGTCACGGTGCGGATGAGAAACCTAGTAGGACGTAGTAAAACGAGGTGAACGTAACACAACGTAACATTCCTTAATAGGCCGTAACAAAACTTGGAGGTGGTCCGTAGTGGGACGGGAAGCCCGCACATTCACCGGCATCTTACGGTCTTTTCAAGTTTTGTTACGTTCTGCCACGTTTAGTGCACGTTTTGTCACGGTTGCCTCACGGTTGCTGCGCATGTTGTCCCTTTTCGCCACGTTTTGCCAAGGTTTGCCCCGGTTCTCAGGGCAGACCAGGGTGTATGGTAGCCGTTTTGTCGCGTTTAATCACGGCGCATCCCGGCGTCTGACGGTTTACGGGCGCGGCGCGTTGCGTTCTGACACGGCGCACACGGTCGGGAGGTAGTATATAAAAGACGGGCGCG